GAATTACTGGAAAGGAAAAAATCACAAAGATCAGAGGAGAGATAAAAGAAATAGAGACAGGAAGAGCAATAGACAGAATAAGTGAAATCAGAAGTTTATCTTTTGAAGGATCAATAGAATTAATAATTCTTTAGCTAGATTTACAAAGAAATAAAAGAGAAAATGTAAATGAAGCTGCTAATATTACTCTTGCTATCAATGCCCAACACTGTAAGAAAAAACAGACCAAAATTATTTCTGAATGGAGATGTTAAAATCCTCAACTAAATATTAGGAAACCAAACTTAGCAGCTCACAAAGAGAATATATCATAAGCAAATGGGATAATCGCATAAATGTGGAGTGGTCCCGACACTGGAAAATTAATCAATGAAATGCAGGACATTAACAGACCAAAGAACAAAACCCACCTTAATCCATACAGAGGAGTCAATTGACAACCCGCTCATTGTTGAAAACATTCAACAAGCTTGAAATAGAAGGGGAAAACCTCAATATGATATTTTCTAGAAACCTTATGAAAAACTCACAACTAACAACATAGTCATGAAAAGGGGAAAACTCTCGAGCTGGATTGACACAATGGCTGCAACCATTGTGAAAATAGTGCAGGACTGGCAGGTGTGCTGCTGTGTTGAACATATGAGTCAGAACCTACTTGGTGGCACCTAATAACAACAGTGTTGTTATTGGAGAAAGACTGAAAGCTTGTCATTTGGAGTCATAGTCATAGTCAATGGAGAAAGACTGAAAGCTTCCCTTTAAGATTAGGAACAAGGCAAAGATACCCCCTTTTGTTATCAACTCAATGGCAGTGAGAATGATTCAACCTTCTACACAAAGTCCTAGCCAGAGCAGCGAGTTAGGCAAGAAAATCATAAAAGATAACCAAATCAAGATGGAGGAAATGAAATATCTTTTCACAAATGACTGAGCCTATCTGCAGAAAACTATCCAATAATCCATAAGGAAATTGATAAAGCTGGTAAATGAATTTAGCAAAGACACAGAATACAAAGTTGATTGATACTCAAAGTCATTTGAGTTTCTGTACATCAACAAGGAGGATTCTGAGAAGGAAATCAAGAAAATTCCATTCACAATAGCATCTAAAATTATAAGATACCTAAAAATAAATGTAGCCAAGAAAGTGGAAAACTTGAAAGTTCAGGAAACTCCTGAAAAGTATAAAACAGTCGTGAGAGAAAATAGAGATACACAAAATGCAAAGATACGCCATGGTCATGAACTGGAAGACAGTACTGTTCATATGTCATTACTACCCAATGTAATCTATGTATTCGACGCAATCCATTGACATTTCAATGGCCATCATTGCAAAAATGAAAAAGCCAATCCTCAAATTGATATGGCACTGCCGATGGCAAAACACTCATTAAAGCAAAGCAAAGTAGATCACTTCCAAACCTCAAGACATAATAGAAAGCTACAGTAATATAAGTAGCTTGTTACTGAATTGATATACAGATCATAGAATAGAATGAGATCCAGAACTCAATCGATAAGTGCTAAGTCCAGTCAGTGGGGAAAAGATTGTCTCTTTAATAAATGACATGTAGGGGAAACACATTATATACATGCAAAAGAATGATGCTGGGTCCATACCTCATGCTATGTGAAATTAACTACAAATGGATCAAGAACTTAAATACAAAAACTATAATACTCTCAAATGAAAACAGAGGAGTGATGCTTTAGGAGCTAGTGTTTATTTACACTTATGTATTTAATTTGGAAGCTAGTTTTTAAACAAGAGATTCTTAGATATAGCATCAAATACTATCAATAAAGGAGATGATGAGGACCTCATCAAAGTATTTTGTCAACAAAGTGAAGAGACAACCTACTGCGTGGGGAAATCCTCACATCCAAATGCATCACTTAACTTAGTGGATAACTTTTTTAAGTGTTTTTGTTTGAATACAAATATATGTTATCTGCAGTCACATGGGACTATTAGTCATAGAACATAACTCTTAAAACCGCTATATAATAGGCTTTATTAAATTGCTTTTCTGATGAAAAAGTTTCAAAATTTACTCAAGTTTCTGAAGCACAATTTTTGGTAGCCTTTGTGTTAGTCCAGGTAGACTAGCGAAGCAAATGTATAGACACTCATACGTGTATAAGAAAGAGGTTTATATACAATAGCAATTGAATATTGAGAAAACATCCCAGCTTGGTCCAGATCAAGTCCATAAGTCCGATATTAGCCCATATGTCTGAAACAAATTTATAAAGTCCTCTTCAGACTCACGAAACATATGCAATGATGCCGAATGCAGGAGGATCATAGGCCAGTGGGTTGGAAGTCTTCCAGATCCAGTGGCATTATAAGCATCTCAGCGCTGGCAGGGGTGTGTATACATGGCTTCTCTGGCTCCAGAGGTCTGGTTGCATCAGGGTAGGTTCATGTGACTTCTCCAGCTTCCAGGACATAGCAGTATGTGTCTTGTCAATAGAGCATCTCCAAGGGAGTGAGCAGAGGGTCTCTCCCGGCTCCAAGGAGGAAAACACAAGGTTTCCCAGAATTCTTAGGAGAAAGCCATGCCCACACAGAGGCCTCATTGGCTATGATCTGATTGACAGACTAGACTCCACTCCTTCACTCTTACACCTCTCAAGTCCCAAATTGACACCAGATTATGTAACTAACACAGTCTTCATATGTATTTTTTAAAGTAGGTTTGGGAAATCTTTTCTTAGATAAATTTGAAATTTCTCTACACATGTATACTTGCCTTCAAAGATAAATTATATTTTTTTCTGTAGTGTTTCTACCTCTGAAATAAGTTACAAAGTATTTTAGTAGAATTATCCCTCTGTGTAGAAAGTAAAAACATACTTGATTATCACTCTTTTGGTATACCAAGTATCATTGATAATTGAACAATATAAAAATCAAAAGCTTGCTAAATCCTTGTAGCAAGCTTCAAACCCAAAACAAAACTCATTGTCATCAAGGCAATTCCTACTCATAATGACCCGAATAGGATAAGTCGATCTGCCCCTGTAGGTTTCCAAAGCTGTAAGCCCTCACAGGAATGGGAAAGCTTATGTTTCTCCCTGTAGTAAGCTTAGCTGATATAAAGAATGACCCAGAAGATAGTGTTTTCAAAATTAGCTGTTGCTAGGTCTAAGTTGGTTCAGACTCAGCAACCCTATGTACAACAGAGTGAAACACTGTCTGGTCTTGTTCAGTCCTAGTGCTGTAGCCACTGTGTCCATCTAGCTTGCTGAGGGTCAGCTTCATTTTTGGTGCCCCTCTGGTCTCTCTTGATAACATGTCAAAAGTGTGTAAGATTGTCTTGCCATACTTGCTTCCAAGGAGCACTATGGCTGTCCTTTTCCCAAGACAGGTCTTCTTTTCATAATTGGTAGAGATTTTTTTTAAATGTATAAAGCTTTTATTGTTGAAAGCAAAAATTGGAAATTATAAAAACAATAAACTAGAACGTATCAATTGAGAAAAATTTGCAGCTTTTAAATATAATATGCACATTAGAATTTCTTCTCCCAAGACTGAAACTAAAATATGGCATGAATATCTAGTTCTATTAAGGGCATATGTGCAGTTGAATACTTGCTAGGGTCCTTCTATTTACAGTCTTTACAATTCCCACCAATGACTGGGTGGGGCATGCAAATAAGGTGTGTGGATTGGTCTGTTTTGCCATTCCACTGGGTATAAAGTGATGTATCTTAGAAGCAAGAACAGAAACCTCACAACCATCAAGAGCCATGAAAAGAGGCCATCTTTTGCGAGATGCCCACATGGAAAAGTGGCAATGGCAGAGGGCCTGGAAGCATGAGACAGAGAGCAGCAGGCTTCCTAGTTCATGGGAAGAGTAAAGCTGAATGTCTTTGGGTAGGGGGACTGCCTTGTCGAGAGGGGTGTCCATTGGGCATTTATCAGCCTTAAGATGTTTTGTAACATTGTCCATGTAGGGCAGAGGCCAGAGAGAATTGTGCCTACAAGTATGGCTCAGAAGAGACACTGCATACAAAAGAACTGTATCCTTAACATTTCTGATTCTGCCTTGTAACTCATTAGCTTCCCTACTAAACCGCATAATCATATTGTCTGTAAGTTATGTTTGGTCATCGCAACAAATTATTGAACCCAGCAGAAAAGCACATTGTCAAGGGAGTACGGTAAGAACGTTGGAGGGTGGAGGCATGTCTGATCTGCACTTTACAAAGTCCTTGGGAAGATATAGAGTTGGATTCTTCTTGCCCCTTGTATAGTTGGAGGACACAAGTCATTACCTTCTCATCATTTCCTTGACATTTAAATTTCCAAGAATTTAAGTGTATGGATTTTATTTGCAAAACAACAACAAAAAAAACGCCCTATGTTAGGTTAAAAGATAAAAACTATTGTGAGAATGGCATAGGACAGGCAGTGTGTCATTCTTTTATACGTACAGTTGCTATGAGTCAGAATCAACCTTACATTGCCTAACAACATGCAGCATATATACTTACATGTTTCAAACTAAATTAAAAATGATACAGAATCACCAAAATGACATCTACTGGAAATTTGGGATAATTACAGTTAATGATTGTCAAGAACAGGAATTCCAAAACAACTGTTGGCGTTGGAATCCATAATAGGCCAGGAGGCAGTTGGTTGACCCAAACAAAGGAACATCGAATGATTTAAAGTACTATTTAAAATGAGCAATTATCTAATTGATGTTGAGAAAATAATTGCAGAAAATTTGCTTAGGAAGAACACAGCATCAGAATTGGAAGAAGGCACTTAACAACCCAAGATAGTTAGATGACACAGCCTTGCTTACTGAAAGCAAGATGATTTGAATCACTTACTGATGAAGATCAGAGAATACAGCATTCAACATGGATTAGACCTCAATGTAAGGAAAATAAAAATCCTCACAACTGGATAAATAAATATATTAATATTATATTGGATAAAAAAGTGAAGTTCTCGAGCTGGCATCGTGCCAGCGATGGTTGCTGTTTGCAGTGCTCTTGGGAGAAAAACGTTGATGCATTTCACCACGGCTGCAGCCAGCTTCACAGATTCCAGGAGTCACACTGTGGTCTACAGAAGAGCTTGTTCGCCATATGAACAGGTGACCAGCAGTGAGGACCTGCCCATTACAATGGAAAGTTCTTACAAGGGACCTCTTAAAAAAATGTCTCTTGTGTGGAAAACGTGTAGATTACAAGAATGTACAGCTTTTATCCCAGTTTATTTCTCCGTTTACTGGATGCATTTATTCAAGGCACATAACAGGCCTTTGTGGGAAGAAACAGAAAGAAATCACAAAAGCAATTAAGAGGGCACAAATAATGGGTTTTCTGCCATTCAGTTACAAGGATCCTGCATTATCTCAAAGACCCCAAAGTTTGTAACATCAAATATTGGGAGTAAATTATATAAGATTATTACCAATAAACTTGCTTTATAGTAAAATAAAAAAAGGAAGTTCTCAAAGATTTCATTTACTTGCACCCACAATCAACACTCTTGAAAATAAAGCAAACGGGTAACTTAGGAAACTTCTACATAAGTATTAAAAAGAGCAAAGATGTCACTTTGAGGACTAAGGTGGGCCAGACCTAAGTCGTGGTATTTTTATAGCTTCAAATGCATGCGAGACTGGACACTGGGTGAGGAAGACTGGAGAAAAATGTGCGCTTGAATTACGGTGTTGGTGAAGAATATTGCACCTACCATGAACTGCCAGGAGGGGCAGCAAATTGTCTTGGAAGAAGTATGAGCAGAATGATTCATGGAAGTGAGGAGGGGGAAGCCTTTGTTTCATGTCCTTTGGGCTTGTTATCCAGCTTGGTAATTTAAAGGGTCAGCAAAGAAGAGGAAGACCCTCAGTGACATGAAGCGACACAGTGGCTGCAACTATAGGCCCAAACATCGAACTGTTGTGAGGATGGTCCAGAACTGGGCAGTTTCATTGTATTGAATTGGGGGTGGTCATTGTAATAACTAACTTGATAGCACTTAACAACAATCGCAACAGTTCAAAAAGGTTAATTTGAAATTCATTGCAGGGGGAGTGGATAATTTAATGTGGCTTTTTAAGCCAAAGTCTCTAATGCCCACCAACCAACCTTTCCCTGCTTGGGTCTAAGAAGGTGGGGGAGGGGGGGGAGATCCTTAACAGGAGTCACCTGTGAGCAATTTTGACTAGGATTCCCTGGAATGCAACTCTGCTGTGTATAAAATGAGCCCTCAGAAAGAAGTACCTCAATACAAGCAGGAGCCAGGAGTGGAGTGTGCTCTGGTCCCTAGATCCCTAAGCAGTGAACCTTCTGGATGCAAGACATCAGAGACAGCCACAGAACCAGGAGTCAGAGGCTGGGACAGTGATGGGCTTTCCAATCCACAGAGCAAGTACAGATGAGTGCTTTCAAAGAGGCCTGGCTATCAGAGTAGGGTGCCCCAGGTACTCAATTGGGGTAATTGGACATGCGGACCCATGGAAGTGGAGCTGAGTGCATTGGGACTGAGGCTTACTAGAGTGGGGTACCTTTGACCACTTAATTCATGAGTTGGGCTTGCTGACCCATGAAGCGTGAGCCAATTGCCTGCAGGTTGAAGTTTATAGCTGTGGTATGGCCTTTGGGCATTTGTTAGCCCACTTGACAGAACTTTGTGATATGCCCTGGGAGGTAGTTTATTGTGCCAACCTGGCTGATAAACACATGT